TTCTACCTAGCGGACTACTAAATAACACGAATAGTCATTGCCACGAATGAACACGAGAAAACCCGTTTGTATTGCCAATCATGCCCTATCCAGAATATTGAACCGCTTGAACGTATATCTACACATCGATCAGCAAGGGTAGAACCGGCGAAGAATGTACGCACCCCAAGAAGGCGAGATCCTTGCTGGAATTGGTATCCGCACCCGCTGGTTGATCAGGAACGTCTCCCAAATCCTCGGTCGGGAAGTAGGATGTATCGGTGATGGACCGGAGGTGAGGCACGAAGGGCGCATCAATCTCTCGGATCGTAGACCAGTCGACACCGTAAAAGAACGCATGGTTCTTGATCTGCTCGCAATTCAACCTCACATTCTGCGCAGTGAGGAGTCTATAAATAGCTAAGTTTATTGCCTCGCATCGCATAGACTACTCACCCTCGAATCATGTCCTCGGACTCGCGACTGAGATGAATGTCATCTGGGAAGAGGAGGTGGTTCCGCCAATCCAAAATCTTTTTGTACGTGTCGTGGGTATTCTCCGAGCAAAAGGGCGGGTACCCGACAAGACATTCAAACATGATGGCACCCAACGACCACCAATCGCACTCGTTGCTGTACCCCTGCATCAAAAAGATTTCAGGGGCAATATAATCCGGAGTTCCGACCGTCGAGTAAGCCTACTTTATCATCAGCAACACCTCTAAACCACTTGTGTGGCCTGTGACTCACGAGCTTTCGGCGGTTGGCTTTCCAGGTTGCAATCTGGTCCTTGCTCGTGACGGTGAGATGGATCGGGTTAACCATGACACTGTTCCTCGTCGACCCCTGCCCCTGCGGCTGCACCCCATTCGCCGAGTCGAGCAAGCGCTGGTAATACCCCGAATCATGTTGCTTGTGGAACCCAGTCGACAATCCAAAGTCGGACAATTTGATGTGGCCTTCTCTGTCGATCAAAATGTTGTCGGGCTTGATATCTCTGTTTGGGAGAGGGGAAAAAGGGAGTGAGGTGAGGTGAGGT